GCCAACCATAATTAGAACTGGCCGGTAGCCGGTCAAAACCGCTCAGAACCGGTCAAAACCGTGGTCTGACCGGATTTAACCGGCTACCGGCTATAATGAAGTGATGTCGTTTGGCCTAGTCTGAAGCTTCTTCAAAATTATAAACCCTAACAAATTGGATCGCATCTCCTTTCCGTCTCCGTCGAGCGCAGCAGCCAACAGAGCCCACGCCAGCAGCCACAACTAGCGGAGCAGAGTCTCGCCGCCGCTGCTCCCTACTCCACGCCTTGCCGCCGACGTATGGACCAAGCTCCCCGCCTCCTCGCCGCCGCTCGCCACTCGAAAATTGAGACTCTCCACGACGTCTTCTTCTGTTGGCGCCGCCGGTAGCTTAGAGGGTCCGACCCCATACCCGACCAAACCATATAGTAGGGAAATCGTTCTTGATTTCGCGGTATGGAGAGCCGGCGATGTTGGCGGCAGAGAGTTCCGGTCGATTGTTTGGCGACAACGGTTGGTGAGCTTGAGCGTATCGGTTCGTGCAAAAGAAAAGAAAAAAGAAGATTGAAATTTGGATTCGGTACTGTAGGAGAGAAAGGTAGTAGCGGATGAATTAATTAACTTGGAAATTGGTCAGTTAATTAACTAATAATCCCCTTCATAATCCAATCCAAACCTGCTAACAAATTAAACAAACTAATCCACTATAAAACAAACCATTTACGTTAATTTCCCACATATTTTTCCACTATAAAACAAACCATTTACGTTAATTTCCCACATATTTTGTCAAAACCGGCTTAATCCGGTTGAACCCCGATCCGACCATTAAACCTCAAACCCTTTATCAAACCGGCTGGACGACTTAATCCGGTTTGACAACCTTGGTAATCTCTGCCCTGTTTGATTGGGTTTGAATGAATGGAAGTTTTATTTATAAAAAAAAGCCGCTGACCACTGACCCTCTATCCATCCAAGTTCTAACCCTCTCACAGTATCATTATCCCGTCGCTTTCTTTCAGTCGCCACCAAAGCAGAAACGTCCTGAATTAACAAACAAATTGGAAACCCAAGGCGAATAATTAAAATACGCCCCAACACACAGAAAAAAAGCAGGAGATTCCTTCTCGATTCTGGCCAAGTCAGACCCCAGGAAAAGCTGGGCTTTCTACTCTGTTGATCAAACCCATACTTCCGCCCCTCGGAATCATCTCCAGAAAAACATAGAAAATCCAGCAATTTGATAATACTCTAAACTCATTCTTCCATTTTAGCAGCTCGGCCATCGCCACGAAAAGTCAGTCACCCACCAACTGGCAACTGCGGCTCAGCTGCGGTAGCTAGTTGTCATCTCCCACAAGTAACCCCCTTCCCCTTAATCCCCTCCATTCTTCTTCACCCATCGTTTCTCAAAAGCCCAAATCGAGAAAATAGTCCTCATGGCCCGCCAGCAGAGCTCCCAAACTCCACTTCTGGGTGCCGATGATGGCGTCTCGCCTTCTAAGAAGCGGAATTGGGGCAAAATAGCTCTGTTCCTGATTCCTGCCTTGTTAGCCATCGCAGGTAAGAATTTTACATGTTTAGCGTCATGGGTTTTGCTTCTTCTTTCCTGGGTTCTGTCCCAATTCTAGCTGAATTCGAACTGTTAAAGTGTGGAGCTAAAAAATGTTTATCCTTTTTACCTTTTGGACTTTTTTCTCGTTGCTCGATTGGCGTGTTCGCAGCCTAACTATTTTGTGATTGCAGCTCTGCTGGGAGTATTCCTTTTGGGCGATGTGAATCCCCTGTTTCGGGTGAATGGAAATAGAGCTATTGAAGGCGATGAGAATGCAGAAATTGAGTCGGAGAATGGAGTTGTGGCAGCAGATGATGCCAGGTGCTCTCAAATTGGCGCTTCAGTTCTCAGGCAAGGCGGACATGCCGTCGATGCAGCAGTCGCCACGGTGTTGTGCCTCGGAGTAGTGAATGCCATGGCGAGTGGGATAGGTGGTGGTGGTTTCATGGTCGTCATGTCTTCTTCCACTTCCAAAGTTCGAGCTTTCGACATGAGAGAAACTGCCCCTTCTGCTGCTACCAAGGTCTGACCTTGCAATTAATTGCCCTAGTTTTTACTCAAAGTAGCCCTATCTTAAAGTTTAAGATTAGATTTAATTTTATCCTTTTTTTTGGATAACAACACAATTAAACAATACGAAGAAAATAAAATTTTCTCTTTCCCCTCGAAATCCAACCACCAATGTTGCTCAGGCTGGAAATTTGATATAATTATTTGAAATATACCTAATATCATATCGAACTTGTTGATGTTTGGTATTATTAAATATACGTATTTTTTCTTGATATTAGAATTGAATTTCAAGTGTTATTTGGTATTGAGAAATATAGGATTGAGATAGATATATACTGAAATATCTATCAATACTAAATATAACCTAGTGTGTATTTTATCCCTTTCAACTAGACTCACTCACTTACTAATACCATACCCTTACCCTCAATTGTCAATATGGTCACTTAATTATACATACTTCATTCCCACACTAATTGACAACTCATACCAAGCTCGTTTTGTTACTTGTAGGATGTCCGTGGGTTGCTTAGTCGTTCCATGTTTTAGTTTGTTGGTTTAGTTTGTTAATGTGCTTCTAAGTCACCACATTTTTCTAGTGTGTTGCTATTATACTTGAGATTTTTCCTATTTGTTTTGCACAAGAGTTACCACCACACCATTGTTTGTTTTTGTATGTTTTGAGAGTGGTTTGTGGAGCTAGTATTTGTGTATATATATTTGATTTGTAATTTTGAAAAAAACTAATTTGGTATTTGGTATATACCGATACTGAATAAAATTTTAGGAATTGGAATTGGGTATTTGCTACTTTGGTAAGTATGTAATTTGCCCCCTAATTTTCAAAAAAAATAATAATATGTTACAATATTTTTCTTGCTTCATTATTATTACACAGCCTACATATACCGTTCTGTGTCACTTCTCATTCTGGTTATTTTTCTCATATGATCTCTTGCTGTTGTGAATTTGGTTGTGACTTGAGCACAGAACATGTATGCAAATGATATTCAAGCCAAGTACTTAGGTCCACTATCAATGGGGGTTCCTGGCGAGATAGCTGGCCTTCATGAAGCTTGGCAGCAATATGGCCGCTTGCCATGGAAGTCCTTATTCCAACCTGCAATAAAACTCGCCAAAGATGGATTTGTGGTCGCTCCTTACTTAGCCCTGTCCATAGCCGAAAGCACCAAGATCCTGAACGATCCCGGATTGCAGAAAGTGTTTGCACCCAGTAACAAGCTCTTGAAAGCCGGCGATGTATGCTACAATGCAGAGCTAGCTCGAACGTTGGAAGCCATTTCCGAGCATGGGCCAGAGGTATTCTACAATGGCAGTGTGGGCGAGAACCTGGTGAAGGATGTGAGGAAAGCTGGAGGGATAATAAAGATGGAGGATTTGAAGAACTACAAGGTGAGAGTCACTGATGCAGTTGCTGTGGATGCCATGGGTTACACCATACATGGAATGCCTTCTCCTTCGAGTGGAACTCTTGGGATGTCGCTGGTGATGAACATCTTCAAAAGCTATGGAAGTGTTGATGCTGCGAAAGGGGGAATCGGTCTGCACCGGCTGATCGAATCGTTGAAGCACATGTTTGCACTGAGAATGAACCTGGGAGATCCTGATTTTGTTGATATTACTAAGGTTCAAGCTCAGATGCTTTCTCCGTCATTTGGTGAGAAGATTCAGAAGCTGATATTTGACAACACTACTTTCCCGCCGGAGTATTACATGCACAAGTAAACTGTCCAGGACCAAATCTTACATATGACTGCCATGATATATATGATGCTTAAATGACTGTTGTTGGACTTTCGAGTTGCAGGTGGAGTCAGCTGAGAGATCATGGAACCAGCCATTTATGCATTGTTGATGGGGAGAGAAATGCTGTGTCGATGACGACGACTGTGAACTATGGATTTGGAGCTGGGTTGCTGTCTCCTTTGACTGGGATCGTGATCAACAACGAGATGGGCGATTTCTCAGCTCCAACCGAGATTTCTGATGATCAGCTCCCTCCTGCACCTGCAAACTTCATCGAGCCAAATAAGCGGCCATTATCTTCCATGACACCTATTATAGTTACCAAGGTAATTGTAGGGGTGGTATAGGTGACAAACTTGACCAATAGATCTATTTGTTGATTGAGAAAAAAAGGTGCCAACTTTGTGAACTTAGATCTACCTGGATCACATCCTCAGGTGTCCCCTTAAGCTTGTATGTTTGCTTTAAACGCAGGGCAATCAGCTGGCTGGAGTGCTTGGAGGGAGCGGCGGCTTGTACATCATTCCGGCAATAGTACAAGTCTTCCTCAACCATTTTGTGCTTGGGATGGAACCTTTACATGCAGTCCTAAGTCCAAGGGTTTACCACGAAGTTCGTATTGTGCATTCTTCCTTCATAAAATCACACTGCTTTCAATATTTGCAGAGAGGGTCATACCGAATTGACGATTATGATGTGGTGTTTTTGTTTGCAGTTGATACCAAATGTGGTCAAGTACGAGAACTGGACTTTGCTATGCGGGGATCACATAGAGCTTGCAGACCAGAGGAAGGATTTCTTGAGAGAGAGGGGTCATGAATTGAATGCACATGCAGGTGGAGCTATAGTGCAGCTTGTTGTTCAGTCTCTACAAAACCCGATTAAACGAAAGACGAATGTTGGCGACAATACAGTAATCCATGGAATGCTAACTGCAGTAAGTGACCTACGGAAGGATGGCAGGCCAGCAGCTGCTTGATCAACTCGAAACTGTTCTCTACATCTTTAGGACTATTGGCCAACAATGCATGGCAGGTGTAGTTAGATGATTCTAAGGGGGTCTCTAAAGCCCTGAAGTATATGTACATTCAAACATGGCAAACGATCAAAGGTCAAACTCTATTTCATCTGGCAATTAATCTGTGAAATAAATCTGTCATTCTAAAGCACAGCATCGGTTACTATGAGCTAAACAAAACGTTGAGAATCTCAACAATCCTTAAAGAGCAAACATTTGGTTTCCTCCTGATCCTATAGATCAGTGCACATTTATCAAAGACGGAAACAAAAAAACAGAAAATAAGAACACGATGCCAAACTGCAGAGCAGGAGAGTTGATACACAAGGAAAAAGTATCGTAGTTATCTATTCAACTAAGACAAGTTACAATTATACATTGTTATCTTTCATAAACATTCTGTGTTGTAAGCAGAGAGCTTTGACTGATGACATGAAGTTCTTGGGGCTCTCTACCAACATAAAAATACGAAAAGCGAGCGACAAATCCCGAGTGAGAGATATAAGGCAATGAGTGCAAAATCAAGAATCAGTTCTTGCCTAGGATGTTTTCTCCATCAACTGAATGGGGCTGAGGATGTTGGATTTGCTTGTCTCGACAATGCAACCATTCATGACCATCTCCTCCAGCATGAAATGGGCTTTCTCTAAATGGAACATTATGTCTAGCTCACACTGATCGCAAACAACAATAGATTTCGAAAACAAGTAAGCGTCTTCTTGATGCAAATGCAACCTTCCTGGCAATTTAGGTCGAGCGAAAGATTAAATAAATTCCATTCAATCGTCAAACCAAAGGACTTACCACATTGCCGAAATGACGGTCCATGGTTTCAACTAAGAGATGTATGAATTCCAGAATCGCGAGCTCATTCTGCAAGCAAGCAAAGGGAAAAAGCTTAGCTCACTGGCAGAAGATGTTCAAACAACGGAATCTCCATAGCCATTCGAAGCAGAAAGCCTCAATCAAACAAAACCCCAAATGGTTAAAATCCATTCATTCCCCTTTATATCTAATAGATGCAAGGAAACAAACAAAGGTGAGAACTAGGAACCCTACTTCGTCATTGTCAACTCCAACCAGGAAAAACAGGGATGCGTATCTCCTGTACACGATCTTGTAATTGCGATGCTCAACGAACGAGCACTACCATCAAAAGGGAAACTTGGTCAGATCATATACAGTTCAACTTCGAAATTTAGAAAAACTCTGGTGCTTCTTCGTCAATGTCAAAACAGAACTGGGTTTGCTCTCTGGTTTCGATTTGATTGAGCTGGATCATCGAAAAAATGGTTTAGGCTTGATGATTAAAAGAGCAACTACTGCGGCGAATTAGATGAATCAGGGAAACACACGACCTAGGATCGAAGATTTCGAGGGAAATCATGATCGGGAGAAAGTGGGGAGAGGTAGAGAGAAACCTGCTGCTCGTTGCGGGCGAGGCACTTACGGACGATTTCGCCTTCTAGGGCTCGGCGTTCCTCGAGAGTGAGCCATTCGTAGTACTGGGCAAGACGAGTCTGGCCTTGCTTGTTCACCATCAAAATGAACCGGATCCCCATTCTTTCTTTTCCTTTCTCAGCAACCAACACACGGTAGAGAGAGAGACGGAGAGCGATTGAATCAGATGAGAACTGAGGGCTCAAACAGAGAAGCTGCCCGCCTGGTCTTGGTTCAAGCTCTGGTCAAGGAAATTGGAGACCCGAGACAGGAAGGTTGCTCTTTTTTTTTTTTTTTTTTGTCACTATATCCTTGCGGGTAAGTCAGATAATGGGGCGGTTTGATTTGATTCTCGAGATGTGTACACAAAACATACAATAGGTAAGTGTTGTAGAAGAGAATGCACTTCAGACAAGATCGCTCCACCTGTAGCGTCGAGTGTCACACCGGAAACCAACTGTTGAAGCACCATCTTAACATCACTGGTGATCTGAATGTATCGTGCAGACCATCTCCCAAAGTTGAATGAGGTATAGAGCCTCACATATGGCAAAGAGTTCCACCAAATAAGGATCTGTGATATCCCCTACCACTCGTCCATATGCTAATAATGGGACGAGTTTTCAAGCCTACTATCACAACATCACCATGCATCGGCTGCCTTGTTGTCCATCCACTGCTATACAAAACCCCTAGGAAACGGAAGACGAAACGAGCTGATGGGGTGGTGGAGGAAGAGGTGGTGTGAGTGTTGGACGACAGTATGATGGTCGGCGTGATGTGCAAGGAGTTGACAATGAAGGCAAGCAAGGGTATATTGGGTCTGGGGGAGAAAAACAACATATCTCGACATTTCCAAAAACAAAAAGCATAGTAAACCCAATTGGTTATAGTGTCATCATTGGTATGGAGGATGAGGATAAGATCTCACCATAGTAAAGAGAAATGTTGGGTGTCAGAATACCCCCATTGATTGAATGCCTAAAAGATGGCGAAGTTGTACATCAACGTGACAACGAACGAAAATACGTTCTAACAACTCGCCTTCCTCATATTGACAAACTGGACAAATGTCCTCCACCATAACACCGTGACATTTAAGGTTCTCTCTAGCCGGAAATATACGCTAAAGAATACGCCAAATAAAGCATTTTAATTTAGGTGCCAATGGCAGCCCCGAACTTTAGGCTAAAGAGAACTATCAAGCGGAGAAACGGTGCCCGAGAACGACGAGGCAAACTTGGATTGTTAGAAACTACGAGACGATAGACGGACTTTACCGAAATAACCCTGTGGAATGGTAATGTCATAACAAACGATCACAACCAGGTATGCGAAGTAACGGAATGGCCAAGATGGCCGAAACTTATGTTTTGTCAAAGAATTCTTGTAGACGAGTGCAATCCAAGAAGATGTGATAGAGGAGATAAAAAAAACATTGCGTGAAGATCCAACATCAGTAGGTGATAAAGCCTTAATACACATGTTTTTCTTCTCATTTTTTAGTCGTTTAGCTCAGTGATTGGAATTCTTAGGCTTATTTTACGCTATGTTGTGTTCTTTTGTCACATTTTAGTTCTTAGCAAGTAAAGTGAAGCATAGACGCAAGTTTCGTGTCAATCGGAGATTGTTTGGTGACTCGAAGGAAGAACTTGGGCATGGTAGGATAAAACTCGACCAAGTTTTCCCTTTTTGAGACCAAGTTTCGACTGTAGAGGCAAAACTTGGACTTGGGGCAAAACTTGGGCGAGAAGCTTGACCTATATGAGACCAAGTTTTGGTTGTCGAAAATAAAGTAATAGTATAGAAAAATGGACCCAAATCACTAATGTAAGACCAAATATTTATAAGAGAAAACTAGGGCTAGAAACTCGATCGAGTTTTGCCCAGATGCGAGATTAAAGTACAATTTCAGTCTATTTTCAAGGGATCCGACTTTTGACAAAAAACAGAGTTATAGAGAGAAAAAGTGACTAAGAACCTTACCTTGGAGCTTATTTGAGCTGAGTTTTCACCATTGAAGTTTGAATCTCGCCCCTTGGAGATTAGATCGACATCCCGAAACATGTTATACACATCCTCATGGGCATGACTACTCCGATTTTGGTTTTCCTCTCCCTCTCTCTTTCTCTATATGGAGTAAACCTCTTTCTAACTTGGGTATGAAAAATCCTAGCTCCATGTGTTAGGATCTTTCTCGTATGAACCTTTGGATATTATACTAGTTGATTTTATTCAATTGAGCCATGATTTTTTGAGTCAATTGGATCTTGATCACATTGTCTTGATTTCTGCTTTAACCTAGGATAGATAGAATCTGATTGGGTTAAGAGAGCTTCTATAATTGAAAGTAGTGGATCGATTGTTTGAGAGTTAATCGATTCATTAGTCTGTACTTTTTACATGAAAAAATCAGTTGGAATGGTCCAGCTCAGAGACTGACACCATTGTTGAATCCCACAGGCCACAACAACCATATTCCTCTTGTAAATCCCACCGCTTCGACAACAAGATGCTAGTCATAATCCATCTATTGAATCACTTGTTCCATCAAGTTCTCATTTATTTGTGGTTCCACTATCACCGTCATACCCGGTTGGCATCGCCATCGATATTCCCGAAAGACTATAAGGAATCTATCACTTCTCGCACCCCTACAATTTCAAATAAAGATCTTAAAATCCATGATACAAAGATGAAACAAGTAGGATAGGGGCATCGCCCTAAGCACTATCTCATAGGAGGTCCTTCGAAAGGATTCTCTCCATGGGATTATCCAAGATGTGAGCCTCGACTCACACTCTTTGTTGCTCTTTATCTAGGTAGACCTGAATACTAGTATGTGTAGACGACAAAACGTCATTCACTGTAGATCTGTCAAGATATAGTCTTGCCCGCCCTCGTTCATAGTCCTCCCCTGTCCCGTAAGTGGGTTATCTTCATGTATCATACCGGGAGCCTTAGGGGTACTAACCGAATATGTATGATGTTTTTCCAGACCCATCATTGTATTAGTTCCTTCCAATGATATAATATTTCATGTATTCTTATGGTCCCAACTGCTAACCCCTAATTCACTAGAAAGATTCTTGACGTGTCACATTCTCGCACAACTACCCCGTCCTTCTTAGGTTCACGAGACTTCTCAGCCCAAACTTGCGCAGAGCCATTATCCCCATTGCCGCCCCTAAGCACCTGATGATCCTTGTTGCATCCCCTAGCTGTTGATATTGTCCGCCTCCTTGCCCATAGAATCGGCAAGGACATCAAAATGGGAACCTAAGCATGCTACCAACTTTAGACCTCCTTTGAGCTTCCAGACCCACGTGTTTATTAGTTCGTCTATCATGTCTCTTAGGCACCATCTAGTCACCAAAGGATTCTGTTACATGTGGCAGATGACATGGCACCAACAAGGTGACAACATGGCGGCTACACATGTGGCATGTATGGAAGACTAGAAGCATAGAGATGCTTCTAGTATTCTCCACCTAAATGAGAGATTAATTGTGCATTTATGATTCACATAATGGGTAACATTAGTGGAATGCATTATGGGGAGACTTAATAGAGTGTAGTAATGGAGAGAGACATTATGAGGGGCATTAATGCCTTGTATGAGGAGAGGCCTATATAAGGAGCCATCTCCCTCACTTGTAACTCATTCCACATTTTTTTAGAGCAATACACACTAGAGAGTTCTCTCACTTCCTTCTTCTTGCTTTATTGTGAGTTTAAGAGAAGGATATTTAGTTCTCTAACGGATTTGAGAGCTAAGGCCGCACGACCAAGAGTAAGGCCGTGACAGGTGGTATCAGAGCTCTGTTCAGCTTGGTGCTAGCAAAGAAGAAGCAATAGTCAAATGAAAGGGAAGAGCCTCACCAAAAAATGTCGGGATCGGATAGTGGCGTTACTGATGCCGAGAAGAATCGTGGATGAGACGCCACGAAGAATCCCAAGCCAAAGGCTGACAAGTCAAGCACTCGTGATCCTATGGCGGCTCTAGAGAGGCGTGTCTCTAGAGTGAAAGTGAAGGTGGGGGAAGATATCACTGCCATCGAGGATTTGGGAGCTAACTTCGCCCAAGTCCAAGGAGTGACTGCTTGGTTGACGATTTTGGAGATCAACCATGAAGGGCTGCGAGAAGAGCTCGTGGCTCTCATCAACAACACCATCTCCGACTCCATGAACAACGCGTTTGAAGTTGTGAAAGAGCATGTCCAGGATGAGCTAGTCGGCGTGAAGGAAGAGATTGCAGACCTCAAGAGTGAGGTCACTCTCGTGAAGAGAGCCATGGATAGCGGACCAGCCCCAGTGCAATTCGTCCCACGTGCTGACGTTCCAAGACCGAAGAACTTCGGAGGTTCAAGGAACGCGAGGGAGTTAGAGAACTTCCTTTGGAGTCTTGAGCAATAATTCAAGGCATCCGGCATCAAGAGGATGAGGTAAAACTTCGTACCGCTCCACTTACTTTGTTGATATTGCTATAGTTTGATGGAGGCGACGTGAAGCGGACATCGAGAAGGGTACGCGTGTGATGGTAACGTGGGATGATTTCAAGAGGCAGTTCTATCCGGAGAACGTGGAGTTTGAAACCCGTTCAAGGTTGAGAAGACTCACCTAGAGGGGATATGTGAAGGAATTCTCAGAACTGCTTCTGAAGATCCCGGACACCACGGACAAGGAGGCCATGCACGACTTTTTTGATGGGCTGCAACCATGGGCCAATACGGGGCTCTAGAGCAGAGATAAAAAAAACTATGTAGATGCAATGTCGAGTAGTGCAAGACCTTGCAACTGTCATGGCCACGGCGAAATCTTTTGTCGAGTACAAATGGCAAGAGAGCAGCAACAAGGAGAAGAGTTCAAATCCCAACAAGGGTGGAGAACCGCATCAGCCTTTCAAGGAGGGCACTCGCACTCAACAACGACATGGTGGCCCAAGCAAAGGGGGTAAGTACCAACCAAAATCCGTATCTTGATTCCTTTGCGATGGACCACATTGAGTGCGAGATTGCCCAAGGAAGGCGAGATTGGCAGCCATGGAGGCTCAAGATAAAGAGCCCAAGGCGGCGGATGCCAAGATTGGCTTAATCCTCAAGCTTGGCGTGGTGAATACCGACGTCAAGGAGAGCAAGCGTGGGAGGTGCTACGCTCTGGCCCAATTCATGTAAGGTGAGTCAAAAGCCTTGGTGGATACTGGTGCCACAGACAACTTCCTTCGCATCGAGGAGCAAGACCGACTGGGTATTGTCTACAAGAAGGGGCAAGGGTGGCTCAAGACGATTCAATTCAGAATCCATCCCGATTATGGAGTTGCTCAAAACGTAACAGTGAAGCTTGGCGAGTGGGAAGGTCTCATCGACTTATCCGTCGTCACCATGGACGATCACCCAATCATCCTCGGCATCAACTTCCTCGACAAGGAGGGAGTGCTCTTGAAGCCCAACTCCAACACGATGTGCTTGGAGAAGGGAGGAAAGTTCCATGGGGTCCATCTCTTAAGTGAAGATGGCCCCCATAGTGCTTTGTTCGCTATGCAGGTATTGAAGGGGTTCAAGAAGAATGAGCCAACATTTTTGTGTCCTTGAAGATGGAGAAAGAAGGTGGCTCGACGGGAACCACAACTCTCATAATCGAAGTTGTGCTTGAAGAATTCGATTATGTTATGTCATCGGAGTTGCCCAAGAAGCTGCCACCAAGAAGAGAGGTGGACCACAAGATTGAGTTGGAGCCAGGAGCGAAGCCCCCTTCGCGAGCACCATACCGCATGGCGCCACCACAGTTAGAAGAGTTGTGGAGGCAGCTCAAGGACTTGTTGGACGCAGGCTACATGCAGCCATCGAAGTCACCTTTTAGAGCACCGGTGTTGTTCCAAAAGAAGAAGGAAGGGTCGTTATGCATGATTCATATATATGCCCAGTGTGTTCATATGCTTCTGAAACCATTTCTCACAGCTTGTTTAATTGCAGGATTGCTCGTGGAGTGTGGCTACGTACTGTGAAAGAGAATATCTGAATAACTATGGCCAATGTACCCCCACTGATATTGCTTGGCATAACCTGTTCTTTGCTATGCAACTCTCTAAAGTGGAAATGGTAGATATCGTCTTCATTACATGGAGAATATGGAAAGCTAGATGCTGGAACCTATGATAAAGTGCAGTATTTTCCTGGACCACTCTTCCGAAAACTCACAAGAGATGTGGATGAATGGCGGGGGGGGGGGGGGGGGGGCTACAGCTTCGCCCCAGATCCTACCGACACCTGCGCGACAACCTAGGCACTCGACGTCAGGTCCTTCTTGTCCTCCGGGGGTCTTCTCATCCGATTTAACGGTGCAACGACGAGGAGTGAGAGGTATCTTCGGTTTCGTTAGCTTAACCGGTGACCAATCCTTGGTTTGCGTGTTCGGTAAGTTCTATGATGGCATTTCTTATCCATTCTTACTTGAATTCATAGCTTTAAGAGATGTAATGGCGCCTAAATCATGGTCATGCTTTTGTTTGTTTTTGTGGTGATTCCCAATTGGTCATACGCGCGAGCTATGGAGAATGTTGTCTATCATGATCGGGGTGGTGCGGTGCTCGAAGAAGTGCGATTGCTCAAGACCTTTTTTGCATTTGTTTCTTTTGTGTTTGTTCCTCTTAGTACTAACAGGGTTGCCCATCGTGTGGCACAAACGGCCCTTGCATCGGAAGCAACCGAGTTGGTTGGTTTCGATTTGATTGAACTGGATCATCGAAAAAATGGTTTAGGCTTGATGATTAAAAAAGCAACTATTGCGGCAAATTAGATGAATCAGGGAAACACACGACCTAGGATCGAAGATTTCGAGGGAAATCATGATCGGGAGAAAGTGGGTAGAGGTAGAGAGAAACCTGCTGCTCGTTGCGGGCGAGGCACTTACGGACGATTTCGCCTTCTAGGGCTCGGCGTTCCTCGAGAGTGAGCCATTCGTAGTACTGGGCAAGACGAGTCTGGCCTTTCTTGTTCACCATCAAAATGAACCGAATCCCCATTCTTTCTTTTCCTTTCTCAGCAACCAACACACGGTAGAGAGAGAGACTGAGAGCGATTGAATCAGATGAGAACTGAGGGCTCAAACAGAGAAGCTGCCCGCCTGGTCTTGGTTCAAGCTCTGGTCAAGGAAATTGGAGACCCGAGAAAGGAAGGTTGGCTCTCTTTTTTTTTTGTCACTATATCCTTGCGGGTAAGTCAGATAATGGGGCGGTTTGATTTGATTCTCGAGGTGTGTACACAAAACATACAATAGGTAAGTGTTGTAGAAGAGAATGCACTTCAAACAAGATCGCTCCACCTGTAGCATCGAGTGTCGCACCAGAAACCAACTGTTGAAGCACCATCTTAACATCAATGGTGATCTGAATGTATCGTGCAGACCATCTCCCAAAGTCGAATGAGGTATAGAGCCTCACATATGGCAAAGAGTTCCACCAAATAAGGATCTGTGATATCCCCTACCACTCGTCCATATGCTAATAATGGGACGAGTTTTCAAACCTACTATCACAACATCACCATGCATCGGCTGCCTTGTTGTCCATCCACTGCTATACAAAAACCCCAGGAAACGGAAGATGAAACGACGAGGAGTGAGAGGTATCGTCGGTTTCGTTAGCTTAACCGGTGACCAATCCTTGATTTGCGTGTTCGGTAAGTTCTATGATGGCATTTCTGATTCATTCTTACTTGAATTAATAGCTTTAAGATATGTAATGGCGCCTAAATCATGGTCATGCTTTTGTTTGTTTTTGTGGTGATTTCCAATTGGTCATACGCGCGAGCTATGGAGAATGTTGTCTATCATGATCGGGGTGGTGCGGTGCTCGAAGAAGTGCGATTGCTCAAGACCTTTTTTGCATTTGTTTCTTTTGTGTTTGTTCCTCGTAGTACTAACAGGGTTGCCCATCGCGTGGCACAAACGGCTCTTGCATCGGTAGCAACCGAGTTGGTTGACTACTGCACTTTAGTTTCCATCGCATTGTAATACCCTATCTATTGCGCTCTAACTATGACAAAAAATAATAATTAATATCCCCAAATAATTAAAAATCTCCCACTAAGGGGTGGACATTTGGTTCAGTTTTAACTCTCCGAAACGAACCGGACCGAAACCGAATTTCTCACTATTCGAATAAAAAATCGGAAAGGAAATGCTCTTAATTCGGAATACAAGGTGTGCCAACCGAACCCGAATTCCAAGGTTCGAACCAATAAACCGAAATTGCAGACCCAACTACCACATCCTATTTAAATTCCACCCAGGCCCAACAAATTAAAGAAGCCTAACTGAGGGCCAAGACCAGCAACTGAGACTTAAATTGAAGCCGCCTCCTTCAAAGTCCAAAGAAAGAAAGACCAAACAATAACAAAACCTAATCCTAATTCCATCTCTCCCTTTGTCTCCACTCACAACCACCGACCGTCTCTCACTCTCTCTCGATCACCCGGAGCTTCAAATGGTGTACCCACTAGTACCCAGCTCCTTCTTCATCCCAGAAACCAAACTCTGGTGTGACATCTCGGCGGCGGTGCCACGGCGGGATCTTCAACAAAGACGACAAAAAATATCGGTGGCGGAGCCCCTACATGCTCTCCCCTAGGCCTGTCTTCTTTTTGCCACCGCTTCCTCTTCCTAAAAATGGGCGAGCGGCGAACTTAGTGCTCCAGATCTGGGGAGAAGGCGAGGTCGGCGACGGAGGGAGCTCACTGCGATCTTGACGAGGGAGTGGTGGCGAAGTGCTTGGAAAGGGCGGATCGGCGGCTGGTTGTTCCAGCAGAGAGAGATGGACGGAGAGGGTGATATGGGAGTAGGAAGAAGAGAATGGGGAGAGAGAATCAGAGAGAGCCGAAAGGGGATAACAAATCAGGAATGAGAAAGAAGACATCTCGGGTTCGTCGGGTTTTTCGCTCCGAATCGAGTTATATTTCGGTTCGGCCAGACCAAATCGAAATATAATTCAATTCGAAATCAATTTGACCTTTGACTGGAGTTAGAGTACCGGTAATCATCTTTTCAGTTCAGTTTGAACCGAACCTACCAAATGTCCCACCCTAATCCCGGAAAAAATCCCAGAATACTCGAGTTATTAAAAAAAATTCCCTAAATACAGTACTTATAAAAGTAATTCCCAAAATACAGCAGTTTCAACATCACTGTCTTAGACAAAGACAGTGATATTGATCACCGCTTTTGTCCAAAGCAGTGAAGCAGCGGGGAACGCATCACCGCCTTGGACGAAAGCGGGGAACGCATCATCGCTGTGGTCAAAAGCGGTGATACGTTCCCCGCTTTTGTCCAAGGCGGAGATTGTATCCCCGCTTTTGACAAAGGCGGGGAACGTATCCCCGCTTTAGACATCAACAGTGAAGGCATCACCGCTGCTGTCCACAACAGTGATTGCCCCCACGTTTTACACAGCCCTGGTAGGTGGAGAGGTAGGTAACAGCTACCTAGCCATCACCGCTGTTGACTAAGGCGATGATGGGTTCACCGCCTTGGTCCAAAGCGGTGATTAGCTCCCAATTTTTCCTATAAAAAGCCACGCCCCCTCTTCCCTCCTGCTGCCAAACAGAAAATTAGTAAAAAAATTATCGTTTTGTTAAGTCATTTTCGCAGCTGGTTCCTCCGTAGTTTACTGCTCAAGAAACTCGTCGGGATTTGGTATGTTAGAATTATGTATTGTTTACATTTTGATTATGTGCTAGAATTAGGTATGTTAGAATTATATATTTAGATTAATTATGATATGATATATGTTAGTTAGTTAGTACTGAATTTAGATTAATTTGTTTAGTTTTCTCATGATAGATCGGGATTGAGTATGTTATAAGTATGTATTTTTTACATGTTGATGTGTTAGTAATTATACTGTCTGTATTTAGTGAATTGCGGTTATTGGAAAATATGTTATGATATTATTTAGTTTAATTATGATATGATAGATGTTAGTTAGCTAGTTATGAATTTAGATGAATTTGTTTAGTTTTCTCATAATAGATCAATTAGTTGCATTTTATTATCGCTTTGGATGATATTGTTTTTGTATCCATAATGTACTAATTATATACTATACTTAATTATTATAAATTGCAGACATGGGTAAATTTAAGAAGTTTCGGCTTATTATTTATTGGAATGGTCGGGTGACAAACTCGAACATTGGGATCGACTATGAAGATGGCGAATCCAGTATGCTTACAATTGAGTCGAGATTCTCGTGGCAAGAACTCCATGACAGGTGTGCAGAAAGGACTTGTACGGGCGGGCAAATGAGAGTTCGTCAAATTACTTACCGGTATCCCAACCAAGGCAATTAGGTAGACACGTGCATACCGCTCCACCTGATCTTCAGTAGTATCCGGGCCTATATTAACCTCCATCTGGATGTGGTCAACAAGCCACGGGATCGATACTTTCCCCGCATTCAGTGGTGGATGCCCCTGACCTTCGACGGGCGTGGTGGTCGGCATGTTGAACCCCAGACGTTCCTGAATCAATGGCCCCCAACCATCTTCTGGTTTTCTCGAGCTGTCGATGATGGCATCTCCGGTGATCGGGAGCCCGGTGAGGATGGCAACATCTTTGAGGGTGATCGTCATTTCACCCTCGGGAAAGTGGAAGGTATGCAGCTCAGGGCGCCATCGCTCTGCCATTGCCGTCAGCAGATCGTTGTCAATATCTAGCCTCATAAAGTGCCTCAAATTGTGCAATCCCGCCCTCTCTAGATAGGGATGCAGTCGAGGATGCCAACGGGGCAATCGACATGTACCTCGATGACTGATGGGAATAAGTGATTCCTACAAAACAAAAAACACAATATTGTCAGTCAATAGAAAGCAAAATAAAAACTTAGAAAGCAAAATAAAAACTTTAAAACTATTGAAATAATTTTAGTGTGTCTACCGGATTATTGTTCCAAATTGAACGAGAGCGATGTTGATCTTGCCCGGTTAAATACCTTCGATCCCTTGGGCCAGGATCGATATACAATCTAGGGTCGTATATCTCAGCACCCATCTATAAAAAAATATGAAATCAAATCAATTTAAATTTTAGCACCCATGTAAAAAAAAGCACAAAAGAATTAAATAAATTTACGTACTCTCAAAGCCTCTTCGTCCATTTTTTGCCGAAAAGCTAGCGAGAGTATCGACAAAACAACAAAACAAAAACTCTAGTAATTCTTTCTGATGCGGAAGATCGGACTTAGCCGCAACCACAGAGCATACTTAGAACGAAACTAGAGTGAAAAATGGAGGGAGAAAGAAGTATAAAGTGGTGGTGTGGTTTGGAATGAGGGGGGGGGGGGGGATGGGTATTTATAGTGTTTGGGGCTGGGAAAGACCTGGCCAGTTATCACCGCCCCAAACAAACACAGCGCCATCACCGCGTCCAACAAAGGCGGTGATGGTCAAGGATCGCTGACGTGGCCTCTCCTGATGCGTCGGATTGTGGAGAAAAACCACAATCCGCGCATAACTGCATCCGACGGCAGCGGTGAAGGCGCGGGGTGGGGCGTGGATCGCTGACGTGGAAAGCGGGGCGATCACCGCTTTGGTCTTCAGCGGTGAAGTGCCCGCGCGCGTCCACGTCAGCGATCCGCGCCACTTCACCGCTGTTTGATCCAACGGTGAAGGCTTCACTGCCTCCAACATCAACGGTCTTGCCATCACTGTCGTCCTTGACAGCGGTGATGGCATCACTGCTTTGGTTTAAAGCGGTGATAACATCACTGCTTTTGTCAAAAGCGGTGATGTATCATCGTTTTAGACCAAAACGGTGATCAACATCACTGTCTTAGACAAAGACAGTGATGTTGAAACTGCTGTACTTTAGGAAATACTTTTATAAGTACTGTATTTTGGTAATTTTTTTTAATAATTGGTGTATTCTGGGATTTTTTCCCCCTAATCCCACTCTTGTATCATTTTCCCAAACAAAAAGAAAAAAAGGACCATATTTCTACCCAAAAAAAAAAAGGATTAATAAAATAAAACACTCGCGTCACAAATAATCCCTTTTCTGCTGGCTGGTCTCTCGCTCGAACCAGCGCGACTAGCCGCCTTTCCTCTTGGGTCTCTTGCTCGAATCGCTACGCGCCTTAAAAATCCCAATCCCGCAGCTTCTCTTCTCCAATCGGTCAATCAATCAATCTCTTTCGATCTCATTCAAGATTCGCCATCTTCAATTTCCTCATCTGTTCCCGCTGGCGTTTATCCCCATTCCGCCCGCGGTCTCGATTCAATCCCCTAGGGTTTTTGCTTTCCAATTCATGTCTTCGATGGAAGCTTCCGGCTCTCTGCTAGGTTGAAAGAGTTGAATTCGATTCTTTGTTCCCGCTTTTATTCTTCGTTACCATTGGATCCCGAAGTTGCTTTTCGCCCTAGGGTTTCGAGGTTTCTGCTCGTCGTACGTATTTGCGTCGGAGTAGACCGGAATCCGGCGGGCGTAGGGTTTCGTTGCTGGGATTGGGGAATTTCTCGGTGGTGGTAGTGGGATTCGATTGGGTTGTTGCTTAATATATTCATGGCGGGAAGGAGACATGGAGGCTATTGCGATAATGAGTTCCGGGAGCGGGAATCAGAATTTGAGTTGTCGAGGAAGGAATCTGAGTATTCTAAGGAGAGGTATGTTAGGTTAGGGAATGGTACGCAAGAGTATGATCGTGACCGCATTCGAGTTCGTGACTTGAGGGATAGGGTTAGTGGAGGTAGAATGGGGCAGAGGGAGGGCATGAATGGAGGTAATAGGTGCTCCTCTAGTAGGAGCAATTCAGGTAGTAGTAGTGGTGGTGGTGGCAGTGGCGGTGCGGCCGGCCCGAGACGTTGTGGTTCTGTGGGTGTGATTGTTGATAAAGAGCCTGGTGAGTTGTCTAGTGATAGTGGGTCTGATGGTGCAATTGAGTCGGAATCACTGGTCAGTAAAGAAGGTGATAACTTGTCGAAGGGGGGAGAGAATGGCGGGATAAAGGCTCCTGTTGAGAAGAAGCGGAAGTTCTCTCCGATTGTGTGGGACAGAGATGAAAAGGCCGTGAGTAATCCATTGCAAATTGGAGGTCGTAATCAGGTGTTAGCCTCTCTTCCTCCACCCCCTATGCCTAAGCTGCAAAACGAGTTACCTGATGTTACTGAAGAGGTAACTGTTGAAACATCTCCCGTTAGAGGTGCTGACAATCCGAAGTCAACATCTTCATCTCCCATCAAGGATCCAATTTCTAAATTTTCAGGCGAGTCAGAGTCGCCTATGGAACTGCTACCTCCAATGTCAGATGAACGTCAATGGGACAAAGGTCTTCGATCAGATGCGTTAGAAGATGAAGATTATGTGCCAACTCGCCATATATCTTCCTCAAGATGGGCAGCTGCTAACAGTTCTCCTGTTGACAAAGGTGAAATTGTTGAAGATCACACTATGATTAAAAGGAGGAAGAAGCTGCATCCTTTAGACTCATCTGATTCTAGATTGCGAAGTAAGTCTGTGTCCCCCGAGCCTGGAAGCGTCAAGAGAGAAGGGTCTGAAGGGGGCAAGGGCAGGTTGTCTGCTTCTGAAGACCCGGGATCTCATCTGAGGTCCTCGAGTGGAGATGAATATCCCAACAATGATTCTGAGAGGGATGAAGAGATGGAGGTTGATGGAGATAGTGATTACAAGGATAGGAACATGGGTCACTCAGATACTGATTCTGAAGATGAAGATGGTTCTCAGGGAGCACTAGAACCAGCTGGTCCGCCTCAGAGATGTGTTAACATGCTCAGGGGTTGTAGGAGTGTTGATGATTTCGAGAGACTTAATAGGATAGATGAAGGTACATATGGCGTTGTATTTAGAGCCAAGGACAGTAAGTCTGGAGAAATTGTAGCTTTGAAAAAAGTAAAAATGGAGAGAGAACGAGAAGGTTTTCCTCTTACTGCGCTGAGGGAAATAAACATCCTCCTTTCATTGCATCATCCTTCTATTGTTGACGTTAAAGAGGTGGTTGTAGGTAGTAATCTTGATAGCATTTATATGGTTATGGAGTACATGGAGCATGATTTGAAAGGTCTTATGGAGTCAATGAAACAGCCGTTTAGTCAGAGTGAAGTTAAATGCTTAATGTTGCAGCTGTTGGAGGGTACAAAGTATTTGCATGACAACTGGGTCCTTCATCGCGATCTAAAGACATCAAACCTGCTACTAAATAATCGGGGTGAGCTGAAGATATGTGATTTTGGTTTGGCTCGTCAATATGGGAGCCCACTAAAGCCATATACTCAGATGGTGGTTACTCTTTGGTACAGGTAAGCTGAAGCTTTTTGCATCTGTTGTTATCACTCAGAAGTTCATTAAGCTATGCTCACTTTGGATCCTTTCAATTAGGAATTCTAGATTTCACTTAGATTGTAATATACATGTGTATGCTGCTCGGACTGTTTGCTTAGTTTTTTTTAATTCCATTTTGTTCATACATAGGGCGCCTGAGCTTCTTCTGGGAGCACAACAGTATTCAACAGCAATTGACATGTGGTCATTGGGATGTATAATGGCTGAAATGCTATCTAAACAACCTTTGTTTAATGGCACGAAAGAGTATGATCAACTGGACAAGGTAAGCTAACCATGAGAAATTTACTGATATCTTGGTTTGCAGTTGTTTACAACAAGTTGTTTCGAGCTTCAACTTTTTTCTGGATTGCAGATTTTCAGAACCCTTGGTACACCGAATGAAACTATCTGGCCTGGATTTGCCAAGTTATCCAAAGCTAGGGTCAACTTTGTTAAGCATCCGTAAGTATCATGTTTTCGTTTTTTCATTATTTTAAATGATAACACAGTCATTCTTATTTTTGTCACTGTTTTCCCAGGCTCCCAGCTGGGTGATTATGGTCTGGTGATCTGACATCCACTGGTTGAAATTTTCAGTGAGACATTTGCATTTCCTGTTCATTCTTAACAGTATCACCTACTTCTTTCAGGTATAACCTGCTACGTAAAAAATTCCCTGCAACATCTTTCACTGGATCACCTGTGCTCTCTGATGCTGGGTTTGATTTGTTGAACAAACTGCTGACCTATGACCCCGAGAAGGTAGGCAACTTTTAAGCTTTGTCATTCTGTCTAGATACATGAATGAGATTTTTTAGTAAGCCCTAACGTTCATTGTTTTTGGCCCCAGCGGATAAGTGCTGAAGCGGCTCTTAACCATGAGTGGTTTCGCGAAGTACCACTTCCTAAGTCGAAAGATTTCATGCCAACATTCCCTGCTCAACATGCACAGGACAGGTACCTTCCTTGATATAAATTGCTGGAAGCATCCATTTATCAGTTAAATCTCTCAGGTTTAGTTTTAAATCATGTTCTTCTTTTATGATTAGACGTCTGCGAAGAACGGTGAAGAGCCCAGATCCTTTGGAGGAGCAACGTAGGAAAGAGTTGTTGCAGGCAGATTTAGGGACTGGTGGGTTATTTGGCTAAAGGATATTATTTTCCATCCTGGCCTTTTGTCTCCATGATTATCTTCCACATTGTTGGCACATTACGAGGTTGAGGTGAGGGATAACTACTGAAGGAAAGTTGCAAAACATTGATTATCAGAAGATCGTTGACCCTGTTTTGCTCTGGTGTTTTGATTGGGGAAGTTATTTGCCTACTGCCACCAAGTAGTTGTGTTGCAGGTTGCCTTCTTCACCCAGGTGTCATTCATTCAGCCTATAGATTTTCATCTGTGACACTGCTTGCTTCGCAAGGTGTGGCATAATGGGTTTTCTTCTTTCAAAAATCAGTTTCAGCTGAAACAAGTGTATGTAACATATTTTTTCTCTGGTACATTGTAAACAATTCTATCCAATATGGTTTCGAAGATTTTGAGAGTATGGTTATTGCCGAATTGCCTGCTATCTCTCTTTTTTTAATATTCACATTGTGTTTGCAAGAGCCTATTGATTTGAAGTGGAGGAGAGAAGTTCTTAGCGTTTCATTGCCGAAGAAATATACAAAAAACTTGATTTAGCAAAGGTAAATATGGCATCCGCGTCCCTCTCTAGCCATGATGTTAATGTCTTGTGTGTTGAATGGGTTGCTTTATCTTGCTGATGTTGTCTGTATTTATGCAGTTTGTGCCGTGTGTCCCTTTGTTGCTAGGAACTTAAGATATTTTATACCTGGCCGAAGTGTTAAGTTCCTTAAATGTTATTATCAGGTCTGTTAGTGCCATCTGTGTCTGAATATTGCTGAACAATACTACAATAAATGGAGTTCCAAGCGATTTGAACTGTTTAGTTTGGTTGGGTTGTTGGCAATGGAGTGAGGTTCCGGATGTGCCTCGTTGTGCTTCCTTTTAACGTGGCCTGTACACTCATGTCTTATTGTAACAATGTACTAACTGATTTGAGAGAAACAGAAGTTTAGATAAAATTATGTGCCACGAGTTGTATTTGGGTTCCTGAAATAGTGGTTTTCATTTTTGTGGGAGGGCCACTGGCTTCATTCGAATACTACATCCTGGGTTTTGCTGACTGATTGTGATAAGATTGTCTTTTATTATCACTGTACATGCCTATGAAAAATTATAGAACCTACAACAGTTGAGAGCTGTTCAATGACTTACTCTGCTGATCTAACTGCAGTACCAACGCAAGCAGGTCCTGGAAGTTACCTGCACACTGCGGATTTTCTTGAACTTTCAATTAATTGTCAACAAGGATCATAAAAGGTACCTGCACTGTCAGAATCTTGTGGTTATCTGATTAAATCCTACTGCCTATGTAGGCTAGTTCCATATAGTTACCAGATGCATCGAGTTTAGCGAGGGTCTCTTATTGGTCATATAGAACTAGCAGCACGCAGAGAAGCCGGAGAATCCAATGAGTTGCTTGATTATGTTGGCCTCAGTGGCGTTTTATTGATGGACTAGCTGAGGTCTTCTTGCATGCATTTCTCCCTTATACTTAGTTTACCGTCTTTTGCCTGTGTTTTACCCTACTTAGAAGAATTATGCTAAGTGTCCCCCCTACACCTCTCGCTTCGTAAGCACTGACCCAAAATGATGTTGCTTTGACGAGTAATATGGTCAAGTGTTGCCATCAGGTTTCAGCTCGATCCCATAAGAAGTAGAATGATTTGTGCAGTAACTTGTGTTTTGGTAGTGTTGGAAAGGCAAAGAATTATAGGCATTTACTGGATGATGGGACCTCCAATTTGGGATCTGCCGGTGCTCTTGAAGAAGAGTTCATTTTTACGGTCCTATATCACAATAACAAAACCTTGCTGTCTTTGTAGTTCAATAGTCCCATACACGGAACAAGAGCGATTTGTGATGGGGTCTTGTGTTGATCATATAGGAAATTCACTTTCACATAGAGAATTGGTTGGAGATACTCGTTGGGTTTGCCAAATATTGGCCAAGCTTGCAACTTTTCAATGGTTTTTTTATCTTGTATCCGTGTTTCAATCATACCTACTAGTATCTTAAGAATGGGTGTGTGATATCGTTCAGATTTAATGCCGTATTGTTAACTCTAAGCTGTAGCTTACCCTTCAGATTAGGGCTTTGATTTTCGATCCGTCTTGCTTCTCCTGTTGGTTACCTTTACACAGTGATCATGTTTCTCGTCCGTGTGTTGCGCTTCCTGTTTCTCTGTGCCGTCTCCCAGTTCCCGGTTACTTAGTGTGGCCTGGTGCTGTGGTGGTAAAGTTGGGGTGTGCATCGAAGTGGCTTAATTCTTCAACAATTGATTTGAAGGTTTTCTCTACCGTGGCTCCAGGTTTTGCATTGATTGGAAATGCAGAATGTAGACAGGAATCTGTGGCTGCTAGCGCGTGGGGCCTTGTTTTCCGGTTGTAGCTCGGGTGGCGCTGCTGGTTGATCTTTGTAAATTAGTCTTTTGATAATCAAAATCCTGGTTTTCTGCAGTGGGTGAATTTAGTGTCGTCAAGGTCGCGAGGCTTAAACAGGTCTAGCTGCCAGAACCACTGCTAGTGGGGAGCAGTAATATACGTACTCAGCGCAACGTATAGAAGCCATTACTGGAAAATACGAGACTTGACACCAGAGACCGTCATTTTTGTTAGCCACGTTAGCATACAACTGACAGAATTAACGGAGATTGATGAAATGTACCGGCTAGCAATCAAATGTGAACTATTATTTAGTGATCATTAATGAATTAAATTTATTTGTGGCCAAATGTGTAATATGTAGTAATTTCAGTGATTGAATTTGCAATTTGTCCAATAGGCTAAGGACAAACGGAGAGTGACCAAACATGGACTGTGTTTCTAATTTGAGTGACTACAAATGGAATAAATTTATTTTAGTGGCAAACGTAAACTTCTTAAATAATTCTAGTGACCAAATTTGCAATTTATCCCTTCACATACACCTCAAAGTACATTCATTACATTAATTCAATTTACCAAAATTTTTAATGCCTTCCATCGGCCAACAGGCCGGGCTATAAGCTAGTGAGTTTAATTACGACGAATAATAAATCTCCTTCTCTCCTTGTCTTGTCCACTCTTTCCTTCACTAACCCAGCCGCCCGCTCTCAACCTCACGACAAATATAACGATCTACTCCCAAGCAGAAGCAGTAATCAATCTGGAAAGTAATGGCTGAGTCGAATCACAACGCAACAAGAAACCCGACCGAGTTCCAGGTGACCAAGGGGAACCCAAGCCTGGTTCCGCCTGCGCAGAGCAGAGAGAAAGGGAGCGTCTACTTCCTCTCAAATGTCGACGACGTCTTCTGCATCATCCGCATCGTCTACTGCTTCAAGTCCGACCGGCGGAGAGGGAGCGATTGCGCCGCGGAAGTCATCAGGGACGCCCTGGGCAAGGTCCTGGTCCACTACTACCCGATGGCCGGCCGTCTGGTCCTCTCGCCGGAGGGAAAGCCCACCCTCAATTGCTCCGGCGAAGGGGTGGTTTTCGTCGAGGCGGAGGCCGATTGTGGGCTGGAAGACGTTGACTTCTCGCGGCCGTTTGATAGGTTCGCGCGTGAGAAGCTGGTGGTTTATGATCTTCCTGGCGTGCCCGACAAATTCGAGATCCCTCTCATAGCTCAGGTAACTAATTAAAGAAATTGTGTATTCTATTATTTTTGTTTGATTTTAGGGATAGTTATTTTAGTATTTGAATATGTCAAATTAATTTTTTGTTTTTTTTTGTATTTTAGTTAGAAATACATTTGGAACAAATGAATTCAATAATAGGAGTTTGGGACCTCATACAGTTCTAATTAAGTCCTTAATTCGTTAATGGTATTATAGTAACTATGAATTCGTAGGAGCTCCTTTCTCTTTTCTCCGTCTATTAGATTATTTGGGTTTGGTATGTAAATTACAATTTGTTAACTAAATTTATTTGACTTTTAGTACATGATTTCTTTTTGAATGTTGGTCCAGAAAATATTGATGACAAATTGCATTTTAGCCGGACAATAGCTATTATTACTGCACACAACACAATCCACTCGCTCGTAAAATCGTCACACTCAAGCATTCCTTCCAAGTTCAAATACCATGAGCAGAGTAATTTTGTTTCTGCTTTTGTTTGTTTGTTTGTTTATGTACAATTAGGTGACTAGGTTCAAATGTGGAGGATTGGTGGTGGGAATCTCCTTCAATCACCTATTGGGAGACGGACAAGCGATAGCGGAATTCGTCAACTCATGGAGCGAAACCGCAAGAGGACTGCCCCTCTCCGTCCCGCCATTCCTCGACAGGACAATTCTCAGATCCAGAACCCCACCCAAAATCGAGTTCCGCCACTCCGAGTTCGAACCTCTGCAGCACCACAAATCCTCCGCCGCCGACGAACAAATCACGACTCACAGGTACATCCGACTCACTCCAGAAATGATCAAGAGGGCAAAATCAAACGCAATCGGAGCCACATTAAGCAACCACTACTCCACCTACGAAGCCATCTTCGCATTCGCGTGGCGGGCTCGAAACCGCGCGCTGAAAACGGTGCCGGATCAGCTGACAAGGCTCCTGTTGGTGGTCAACACGAGGGGCAAATTCGAGCCGCCGCTGCCGAAAGGGTATTTTGGGAACGCGCTCAATTTCGCCGCGGCGCATAGCCTGGCAGGGGACCTCGTCGGGAATCCGGTTTCCTACGCCGCGGTGAAGATTCGGGAGGCAATTGGGAGGGTGAGCGACCGGCGATTGAGGTCGGTGATCGATTACTGCGAGGTGACGACGAGAGCTAATAATAAGCGGCGGCCCAGCGGTTATGGTAAGATGGTGGCCACGGCGATGTCGAGGTTGCCGTTCTCTGCGGCGGATTTTGGCTGGGGAAAGCCCATCTCCTGCCTGCTGGTGGAGCCTCCGTCGGATGATAATATGGTGCTCTTTGATCATCCGACGGAGAAAGGGAGCTTGATTTTATTTATCGCCTTGCCGGGTCAGGCGATGGTGAGATTCGAGCGGCTGGTGGAGGAGGAACTTTGTCATACTATAAATGTCACGTGCGGAATCCGTGGGCTGGCGCCGTGTCGTCTTTAACTTAAATACTTAACAGATGGTGGGAATGGGTCAGGATTTGGCGATGGAGATATATATGAAGTAATAATAATGTATACCATCATGTTAGGTTCATAAATTTGGGGGGAGATAAGTTGAACGTTGAGTATCGCATCCTATTTTCTGAATCGAGAAATGAGTAGTTGTGGATATTTATATTTGAAAAACAACTTAATATATTCACCGTTTATACAAAAACTCTCATATAAATTTGTCAGTCAAGAGCTTAATTGATCTTATACGATATAAATTGATTTAAAAAACCAAATTATGAAAATTGAATAACCTATTGGTTATCATATAAAATGGTAAATGAAACGTTAAAAATTGTCATAGATCATTGACAAATTACAATTTGGTACCCATATTTTACCTAAAATAAATTTTTATACAAAAAATATCATTAAGAATTTATGTTTTGGTATCTAAAATTTTTATCATGATATTTTAGTATATAACCTTTTCGAGATATACATATAAGTTCAATGTTTAGATGTTACTTGAATCCATAATCCAATCCATTTGCCACCTCTAGTAAGATCCAAAGATGTCGTTGGATGCTTCATCTTCCTCTTATCTAGCAGCCTCCACTGCCGATTCGTTGTCGAAACCAACGACAGTCCAATAACCGATGAGGCTTCGTTACTCATCACAAAATCCACCTTTGATCCAAACTTCGGTGGCGACATTCACGTTTGTGTTTGGTGGGACGTGAGAGAGAACTGTTAGATGAGAGAGATGAAACAACAATTGTTGTTGATATATAAAAGCTTGGATAGGGTGTTACTATTCATTAAGTGAGTTTTTCGTAACTATTATTAATTTTAGGGTCATTCTCTCAAGAGACCACATATACTACGTCATTTCCTTTTTTTTTATTTTGTTTCTTTAACCATATCAATTTTTGTTTTATTTCCAAAAAGTCAAATATTTCTCTTTTCTTTTATTTCCTTCTTTTTTCATTTCTTTTAGTTACATGAGAACCTTTTAATGGTCTATTTTTGTTAAGCATTTTATTTATGTTGTGCTAAAACGGCATTTTTATCCATATTTCATTTTGCATGGTTATCCATCTCTCTCACTCGAGCTCGATAGAAAGACAAGAGAATTAACTATCTTATCTTCTTTACCAATTGTTGGATGAGCGTGAGCCCACAGTCATCGTCCATCTATCCCGAGCTTTCATTTTTGAAAGAAGATATCTTTTATTCCATATTCCAATCTGTGGAAGCAAATATTGTTACAAGATTAGATAAATGACATAGTCAATAACAACCAATTCCACAAGTAAATTATTGGTAAAATACCTCGTGTACCACTAAAGTATAAGAATTGGGAGAGCTGTACCACTTAAGTAAGAATAAGACATCATGTGTCATTGAACTCTATTTTATATGCACTCGGTACCACTTAACTTTACTATTAAGTGCATTCTGTTAAAGTTGATAGAATATGCTTGTAATATTCTGTTTTCTAACTTTCGGAACTGATCCTTCTATTTGTCTTATTCTAGAAAATTCTTTGGACTTATGAAAAACATCATTTTTTATTGTTTAGTTGAAATTCTCTTTTGAAAACTCTGATACTAAACCAATTTTTGAATAAGAAATTTTGAATCAATTATCATTATAAGTATTTTCAATTATCCTTATGTGTTCTAATAATTGAATTATTCTCTGAAGCAGATATATCCTATGAATTATGTCTAAATATAAATAATCTAAGGATGTTATGTTTAGTTCTCTTACATTATGTTGATGTTGTCTAATTTTTCATGTTAAATCTTTTTCTAATTCTCTAATATTATATTGTGAATATTTCATAGTAGTTAATTTACTATTCTAATTTTCTTCCTATAGTCATCTTTTCTAGATTTTTTACTGAATGTTGTAGATTTTATAGTTTACTTATTACTTGGTTACTTTCCATCTCTTTCGTTCTAAATTTTTTTCAATTATTGAAATATGTTTAATTCTCTTATTGTTTACCATATATCCTTATTTGGTCTTGATGTATTGATGGTCGATTAGGTTCTATTTTAACTGGTTTTAGTAGTGCTTTTAATTAGATTAGAGTTTTAAATAGATCTTCTAATATTGATTTTAAATATTTCTTATTATCTTCTAGTATAACTAATATTCTTTCTTGATATTTTTTTATTATTTTTACTAATTTATCTATTTTACTGAAAATTTTCATTAGCGATTGTAGTAATACTATGTTTAGAAGGTTTTTCAATTTTTATATTAGATAATACTTGTTGAATTATAGCTTTGTTTATTTTTAAAAGTTTTGGTACCAAAAGTTAATTAAAATTTGGGTTGTATGCAAAACTAGATAGATGCACATTTTGGCGACTTCAATGGTACTCGACTTCCTATTCAAATTTAAATGGTATTTCTTCCTCAATTCTCAAATTTAACTGGTATCCGAGATATTTTATCCTAAATTATCTAAATAAGCATTATGAGCCACAGAGTGTGCTAACGCTTTATGACATAGTGGAACAAAATCAAATAATTTCGGGAGTGCACAATGGAGATGATATGAGCTAATATAAACCAATATTGTCATGGCTAATAATTTGGAGCCTACTTTAATGCTAGTATCAAAATTTGACAGAAAAATATGATACATGTGAGACAAGGCTCCTGAGCCGCCAGCTTAACTGTGTGAAAGAGAGTAAGACCTTTCGTCTGAATCGGATAGGAACAAAATAAATTCTCTGCATTTCCTTCATACACCCAACTATGGGAGTTAGCAATGTTAATCCCATAAGTCGTCATTTGTTATTCAAAAACAAAGTGACCATCATAGTGGGCAATCTTTTAGAAAGGGCTAGGTGGTGGTGAGGGGTGTGAGCAGGATCACCTAGGCTGAGAAGGCAAAGTTGTTGATCTTTGGATATCGATATTCCCAAGGAAGTCATGATCAACCATTATTACCGCAGTGGTCAGGGAAATAACCTTGTTCTCAAATACGAAATCGTTCCATGCTGTTAGAAACCTTGATATTTGGGGATAGATTGAGATAGATAAAGAACAGAAGAATTTAGGGATTTGAGATTGAAGATTGAGGGAATTGGGGAAGAACAGAGAAAGATGAGATTGAAAATTAGGGATTTGATTATAATTCTTTGCTTAATCCCAAAACTAGAGAATCCAAAGTTTAAATATTTCTGTCAAAATAACCCACAAAACAGCCCACACTATCCGAGTTCGGTCTCCAGCACCCGACCCAAACCCCTCGGCACCCGACCCACACGCGGGTTTCTAACATACACATATGTTACATAAGCAAAAAACAGCCATCGCCCTCCTAATAAGAGCATCTGAAATCTTATCTTTGATGTAGAAAACCATTTGCAGCATACGGTCTCATCAGACGAGAGATTCACTAGCAAGCCCGATGTCAACCAAGTGTTTACCGTGTGCTGGCAATGAAAGAGTGACTCGCACGAAACTACACCACAATAAAACCCCAATTAGAGCCCAAGTTTTTAAACTCTAATCGGCTGCAGTATAGGGCAAGTATTTAGATATTGACCCGGGCCGGTCCGTCTATCCCTACTTCCGTTGTTGAAATCATTATCTAGCAACAAAACTTTGGTTTAAAGATTTTCTAATTGAAAAAAAGAAAGCAAAGGTGATTGGGTTTGAAAACACTTTTGTGGGAAAGTCACTCAGGTGTCGCTTCCCCCTAAACGCTACCATGCTATTTGGATTGGAACTATTCCCTTGGGCACGCTAATCGTGAACCGCAGAGGAATGCATATGTGGTCGTAGACCACAGTCTCAATTGATAAATCTAGGTGAGGATGAAAGATCGTGTCACTCGACCCTCTCGGTTTAGACAATCGGTAATTGACTTACTCCCTCACTCAACTCTAAGGTCGGACGATTTAATCACGATTAATCGACTTGCTTAACTCAATATTGAGGGTGCCCCAACTTAACCTAGTTTAGATGGCTTAGAAAGCGGAAGGAAAACCAACTCGACTGAGTCTCCCTAAAAAGGGGGATTTTCCTCTCTAAACTAGGCTAAGGTGGCAAATTAGATTACTAGAACAGAAATGCACAAACTTAGGGGTGCTAAGCACAATTATGCACAATCCTTAGGTTGCTAAGCACCTAGATGCACAAACCTAAGGATGCTAAGCACAAAACATGCACAACCCCTAAGTTGTTAAGCACAAGCATGCACAATCATGGTGAATAATGCCTCAATCATTGAATTGAACAATACCAATGACAATCATCCAAAACACATACAAGAAAACTACATGGTAGAGTTAGGGTTTCACTACACCCAAGTGAAAGGAGGTCTACTCCATGCTAGAAGTGGGAAGAACAAAAGGGAAAAAGGTGGAAACCGTCTTTGAGGATGTTCCCTCTCTTCTTGACCCTTGAGTTGAGTGTTCCTTGGGGAAATCTTCCCAAAATCTGCATTGAATCCAAACCCTAACCTTCTTCTTCCCTTTGGTTATGTTTCTCTCACTAGAATTTTGAAGAAGGTGTTTCACACAAAAGTGGGCTCTCCCCTCTCTCCTCCTTTCAGCTCATCTTTTAAAGCCGAGAAGAGCTGAGTTCATGGCCTGAGTTCACGGCCGTGAACCATCAAACGCGTCCGTGAACTCAAGGCGTGCGCCAAAACGCTCCGTATCACCCTTGCCTGTTCACGGTCAACTGCCTGTGTTCACGATCTTAGTGACCGTGAACTCACCTTGCGTCAGTAACCTTCACGTTGGCTCTGGATGCCTCGCGATTCACGGTCAACTCCCCTTCTTCACGGTCTTGCATGACCGTGAACTCCTTTAGTTAGCCGTGAACTATCTCTTTTTCACCTCTTCTCCCGGTTTTCGATCCTTTTCGCCAATCTTTCGACTCCGAGGCTGGTTTCACCGGTTAAATCCTGAAACACACTCCAACACGAAGAACCTAGCGTAAAACCAACCTTTAAGGAGCGAATTTGGCATAAACATCTAAGTAAAACGGGGGCAAACTTGTGCAATTAGGCTCGAATCACTCCCCCACACTTAGACGTTTGCTTGTCCCCAAGCAAACCATTTCACGCACACGGTAATATTTCAACCTACACAAATACTTTGGGGACAACTCAAAGGGCACGAAGCGGGAATTCTCGATGTTTATTGACAATCAACACATGAACCGTTGCAAACAATACCGA